CGGCCGCGGTGATGTCTGGTCCAAAACGTCGGGGGGCATTGCGGGCTGGCCTGCGCGCCCAGCAGCGCATGCTTTCAAATAATAAAACAATGCCGCGCAACTCCGTCGGGATTCGGCAGCTATCTGGGGGCCATGGCGGCTCCGAAGGATCCCGGTGAAAATTTCTGCGCGGCGAGGCCAAGCGCGACATCTTCGTCAGCTCGCCCGAGGTAGATCGCGAACCAGCCATGCGTAGAACACCGTCAACGTAAAAGCGCGCCACCCTGGGCGCCGCCAGAACTGGGGGGACTGTCGCGGAGGCTTTGCATGCGATATTGGTTGTGACACCGGAAAAAGCACCGCCATGTGCGTTGAAGCACGCAACCAGGCGAATCTGGTCAACAGTGCAAGGGGATGATGTCATTTTAGCGGCAACAGTTTTGACCTGGACTGGTTCGAGGGAGAAAGACGCAGGGAAAGTCGAAGAAAAAAAGCCGAGGCCGCCTCAGACTGAGACTTGAAGATTCGGAGCCGACCGAGATGCTCAACCGACTTGTTGAAAGGGGGCGGGGCGGCGTTTGAGGCGAACTAGACAAGAGACGCGCGGCGATGTTTGCAGGAGAATTGGGCCTGGAGCACAACGGAGTATGATGGGAGATACCGGGGGGGCACATGTGCGAGGGGGAAGATGAGGACCCGCATCCCAACCACGAAGTTAAGACATATCAAGGTTTGGGGGCTCGAATCAATTACCTGGCACCGGGCCGTTCAGATGTGCAGCTTTCATTGCTTAGGAGCTGGCGCGCCACCTGTCAGCTCCAACCCAAAGGGAGAGGAAAGGCCTGCCCAAACTACGCAAGTATTTTTTCAAGAACCACAACATGTGTGGGTATAAGCATTTTATAAACCATGCCCGAAGGAGTGAGCCGAGTGGACTGGCACCGTCCATGCCGGATGTAGGGGGACACGTAAATCCACGGGTGGAGGGGCATTTCTGTAGGGATCAGTTGCGATGAAGTCATGGAGTTCGAATCAGAGCATCGTGGCATTATCTTCCGGAGAAGCGAAGTGTCACGGAATGGTGACAGGTGGAGCAGGAGCGTTTGGGCGACAAGCAGTTCTTCAATGTTCCACCGTTGGTTGCGGCATCGCGTTAAAGAGCGGTGCAGGTGCGTCTGTCGGCATCGCAGGGCGGTGGGGGCCAGGAACAGACAGACACATCGAGATTGGTCAGCTGCTGCTGCAAGCGAAGCTGAGGCGAGGAGACATCACATTCACCAGAATAGGAACACATGAGAATCGGTAATATGCGTTGACCAAGTATGAGAGCAGGAACGACATGGCAGTGCAAATGCAAAGCACATATCAACATATCGCTAGCGGGAGGCACGAGCTGGCACCTGCTACGGAGCGTTCGCCCAACCAGTGTTAAGCTTCTGCGTGCCAGTTGGCCTGTAGACCTTGGGCCCAGGATCAGTTGAGATCCAGCCGCTCGTCTACATTCACTACGGACGGTTCTAATCATTCTGCATATCTTGGTGCGTTGCGACATTCATGAATAGTGAGTGCATCGTGCGTCAGGGGGGGGGGGGCTGCGCATTTACGCCCAAGTCAAAATCACACTTTGCATTCGCCAGCTACGCACCCAATCACTTTAAACAGTTAGGTTCGCCACAAAGCGTCTTTCGGCTTCTGCGCTCACAAGCATAATCGTCTATTCCTTTTTGTTTTGCAAGCGCCTATCGTAAGTCTAGCTCGCCCATGTCCAGGCCGTTTCATATAAGTTCCTCACGCGTCGCCTCATTCGGTCCAGATTGGCCGAGGGGGTGTTCGATTATGGCCGCGCGACTGGGTGCGCAAAGCGGTTTACGAATTCCAGTGGTGCAAGTTCGTTCTGTGCCACAAGTGATTGGCTCAAGTGTTTCTTTGTCTTCTCGTGAAAAAGCTCTTGCCCGACTTTCATGCGGAGGTACAGAATTCGAGAAGAAGGAGGAAGAAGAGCTCGAGCAGGAAGGGCATCGATGGGGGGGAGGCGGAGGAGGAGGAGGAGGATGGGGGGGAGGAGGAGGAGGAGGAGGAGGAGAGGAGGAGGAGGAGGAGGAGAGGATGAGGAGGAGGAGGAGGGAGGAGGAGGAGGAGGAGGAGGAGGAGGAGGAGAGGAGGAGGAGAGGTGGAGGAGGAGGAGGAGGAGGAGCGGAGGAGGAGGGGAGAGGAGGAGGAGGAGGAGGAGGAGGAGGAGGAGGAGGAGGAGGAGCATACGGTAGGATCGTGTCGTGCCGACGCGGCGGCGACCACGCCGCGGGCGTTCAAGGTTGATCGCCGCTGGTGGCCCAGAATCAGCCAGTGTTGGACAATCTGGCGATCGGAAAGCCGCCGATCGTTCAAGGCTGAACGATGCCCGCGGTGTCAGGAACCATCGCGAGGGTCGTCACGACACGAACCTGCCGTATGCCCCGTGTCTCCTTTTCCGAGCTCCTATTATCCACCCATCCCCCGTCTCTTACATCCGGTCCCCCCCTACATCTTCGACGATCCGCAGGGCATGTATTAGGTTACTCCGTTCAGTTCCGCCGAGGGCACGCAGCCTGTGTCGGCCCTCGCTGCACCGCTGCGGCGGACAAACGTAAGTTTTGGTGATCATCGACAATTGCATCACGTGAGTACTATTCTCCAGTATTTCTGTTTGGTGGTGCCGCCATATCTCCCTTGTATTGCTGCTCACACACTAAGTTTCGAATGAGGTTTTCTCGTGCATGTGCGTTCTACCGGAAGGTCCTCCTTCCTCATCGTCGTATTCCTCCTCTCCTTCTTCCTCCTCCTCCCCCTCGTCCTTTCCATTCCTGCTCGATCGCCTTTACTTGTCCAAGGCCCAAAGCCCTAATGTTTGATCACGCATCACACGACGGGGCCGTTTTTGGGATCACCGTGCTCTAGGACCTTAGTCGGCGGACAACAAAGGATCCACTGCAATGCGAAGGGGTGGGTCGGAGGGGTACGGTGTCGGACATGTTGCGAGCGCACCTGGCTTGCCCCGTCCTCCGCTTCGCGCCCTATCCCCTCGGATTGTGTTCTCCTGTGCGCCACTCCTCCAGTCGCCCCCCCCCCCCCCCCCCCCCCCCCCCCTTAGCACTAGACAACGTGCGTGCTACTCTCCTCTCTCCCCTGACACTGGCCTCTTGTTCGCACGGCCTCTCCCACGTATCGTTGTTCCTCGAACATTTCAACATCTGCTCCTTCATGTGTTTCTGCCCAATCCTACAACTCTTTGCTACGCAATCGCTGCAGCGTTGGCCTAGCCCCAGAGACGCAATGGACCTTCGGGGCGTGCTTTTCCAGGCTAGGACCGCAAAAACCGTAACTTCCTAGAACGCCATTCCTGGCAATCTCATCATCGTTTCGTCCTAGCCAGGCTAGGACCGAACAAACCGTAATGTCCCAGAACGCCATTCCTGGCAACCTCATCATCCCTTCGTCCTAGCCAGGCTAGGGCCGAACGCATCGTAACGTCCGAGAAACGGTGGCAGCACTTCAGGATCGGCGCTCTGCTCCCGCGCGGTCGCCCCAGCGCGGGCCACACTTCTGGATCCGATTCGTTTCCCGTCGTTGCCGCCCCCTTCCGATTCCCTCTTCGGCCTTCCCCTGGGTTCCCTGGTGATTCTATTCCTGCTGCTGCTCCTCGTCCTTAGTGGGCCCTGGAAACGACAGGGCCGTTTTTTTACCGGTTCCGTTTTGCCGTTTTTGTTGCCAGTTCCGACGCCGTTCTTTTACCGGTTCCGTCGCCGTTTTTTGACCGGTCCCGGCTCCGGTTCCAATCCTGGAGTAGTTTTTTTGCCGTTTCCGGTCGCCGTTTTTTGGCCGTTTCCATTTTGACATTTTTTGGGAAACGGTGAAAAAATCGGCCCTGCCGTTTCCGGGGCCCACAAAGTCCTCGTCATCTTTCGTCATCTTGCGTGCTCCTCTTCGACACCTTCCTGCTCATCGGCCGTCCCCCCGTCCAATGTGCAGCGCACCCCTTTCCAGATTGCGCATCGCACGACGGGATCAGCTTGGGGATCACGGGCCTCCAGGAAGCACCCCAGCCAGCGGATACGAACGGACCCAGCGCGATGGGAAGGGATGGGTGCGAGAGGTCGGATGTCCGATTCGGCGCGAGCGCATCTAGTTGGCAGTCTGGCCTCTCTTCCCTCTGCCCTCTCTTTCCCGCCCTGCTCCCTCCTCGTCCTCCTCCTCCTCGTCCTCCTCCTCCTCGTCCTCCTCCTCCTCGTCCTTCTCCTCCTCCTCCTCCTCCTCCTCCTCCTCCTCCTCCTCCCATCTCGTCTCCACCGCTCCTCCTTGGAGAGGGGGGCACGCCGGGGGGAGGCTCGTGATCCAGGGCGCGCGCTCTCCCCCTCCCATCGGATGAGGTCCCGTGGGTGTTGTGTGTGGCGGTGGTGTGTCGGGCTTGCGTGCGCGCGCGCATCTCTCGCGGGCTCCGCCTGCGCCACTCGCGGAGCTGCACCGGTTCGCCTCTGCCGCGCCCTGCTGCCGTCGGCCTCCCACCCCGTCTTCCCCCGTCGCGGCGTCGTCGCCGCCCTCGCTGAAGGGCCTGGCCCCCTCGCACGAGGCTCGCCCCCAGGCAGAGGCGGAGTCGACGTCCTCGTCGTCGCCTCGTGCCCTGCAGTGCCCGCCTTCGCCCGCTCGCTGCTCCGAGCGCAGCGGTGT